TTTCACAGTGAGGTGATTTTTTCGTTTGTTATTGTAGATACACGATTCTCGTGCTCTATCTGTTAAATCTTTAAAGCCACTGGGAGACAAGTTCATTAAGGATCAACATTTTACAACTAGAGATTTTCTTGAAGCAGTGAGCCACTTTCTAATTACTAGAATAGCTAATCGCAGTCTTGTTTTAGCCTTTTCTCTTTCAATTTAAACTTTTCGAATTTGACCTTTTTGCATTTAAATTCATTATTGATTAAGATTTAAATAAGAATTCCATAAAAACAGTATTTAAGATATGAAGTATTGTTTAGGCATGCCAATCTGATCAATAATTATATTGTGCAGGAGGTGGTCTTCCTTCAAGTATATCTCCAAGGCTCAAACAGCTAAAACATTTTCTGTTATCAACCAATTTGATTTGTTTTAGATGATCATTTCTCTTTTTAACCATTTTTTTATGTAAAGGTGTTGCATTTTGAGATTGGGACATCAAATGTTGCCTTCATATTCCTTGAAGAGCTTTTTATTAAGTTCAAGTAATACTCTGGTTCCATTTCAGATCAATTCATCCGTATCGCTTGAAAAGTTTTGTCAGCTTAGTATCATTATTTCTCCTCCTCTTTTTGCTATATTTTGCTTGTAGGGGAATGGCAAGAGTTGGGGAACTGGTGAGCTTTGAGGCATGCATGGATGTGATGGATCTTCTTTATGAAAAGGAGGAGACGTCAATTCTTTTTAGTTCTCCTCGTTCTCTTGCTGCGTCCATCTTGGCACGTTTTTCAGTCATATTAAAATTACTCCACTATATGTCTTTTAGTCTTCAATTATGTGATTCAATTTGATAAGCTTTTTTGTTTTTTTTTTTTTTCCTTTTGTAGGTTACTTCATATGTGGTCACAGTTCCTAAACAACAGTTTGAGTTTCCTGTTCTTCCTTGGGGTAAGTTTTTCTCATGTGGACTGCATAATTTATTTCTTCTCCATCCTCCCTGCATCAAAATCATTTTAAGATTTAGTAAAGTTGAGGTTTAATTTGTAAGAATAACTCCAATATGTTAAGTTCACACCTAGCATGGTGACAAAGAAAATTAAAGTAGTAAGTTGGGTTTGATTTTCAATTGTAGTAGTATCAAGTAACTAAGAATTGTCCTATAAATCATCACTGTTGAAAGGTTTGAAGTCCAACTAGACGCTTTGGTTTAACAAGGGAATTTCATGGTTAGACAACACCATATAGGTAATCAAACGAGATATTAGTAATACTGCTATTGGAAATTAGCCTGTCAGAACCAACCCCGCTTGAGCATAACATATTT